ACTCGGGAAAGGCTTTCTCATTATCCTGACCGCATCCCACTCCAGGTTTCTGGAATACCAGGGAGATAATTGCCTCGCCGCCCCTCGGCTTCTGCATCAACCCTGGGAGCCGGGGTGGAAAGGAAGAGACGGCGGGACCCGCCGAAGCCTCCCCGGGACGCCAAGGGTTAAGAAAAGCCGTTTAATCCGCTCGTTATCGGTTTCTCGTTACTCCCGAGCACCAAAACCCCGCTCCTCTGCCTCCCCGCCGTATCAATGTGTCCTTCATGCCTTTTCCCGGGCATTGATCGGGTCAAAGTCACCGCAGAAACACTAGTGACAGAGACTCAATTCCAGGCGACGTGACCAATGCCAGTATTTAGAAAGCATTCAATATAAAAGCTTTTTTTTTTCTTTTCTTTTTTTTTTTTTTTTTTCATCCCCGGGGAGTGAATGATTCCCCCTCGCAATAAAGAGCGCTGGGGCTAATTGAAATAATGCACTCGGATGTGGAGCCGAGCGCTCCCGCCCGCCCATCCCAAATTATCAATAACCCCCCCAAAAGGTAAAACCTCAAAACCTGGTTATTTTTTTTGGCCAGTAGGACCCACCAGGCAACGCTCTGGGCCTCCGGGGCGGCCTCGTGGTGCGGGAGTCGGGTTTTAGGGAATTCCGGGCGTGGAAAATTTCCTGGAGGGAAGAGTAGGAGAGAAGAAATTGAAATAGGGACCTGGCGCCGGGATTGTGGCCCCGGCTCAGGCTGGGGATTTCTTCAGGAGCAATATGAGTGATTGAATATAACATTTTTAGGTACAATATGGAAAAATTGACAATAATCCACCACTTTCAACAGGATCGTGGCTCTGAACAGCTTTAGAGGCCAGCAGACTGGTCTGGTTTTCACATTCACCTCTATAAGACCACAAAACTCCCAGCCTTTTCATTCTGTCCTGCCTGAGGTGACACTCACAAGTGACAGTTGCCGAGAATGCCGCAATTACGGCAGGTGCGAGAGGGACCGGGATGTCCAAGCAATTGGCACCCAACTGAAAAATGGCTGGGATAGTGGAAATCAGTGTTCTGGATGTTATTGGACTGGAAGAACCTCCAGGAAGGAAAGCCATCTCGGGCCGTATGCAATACTGCATTGTGCCTAATGTTTATATATTTAAAAAAAAACCCCTCCTGATCTACGAAGAATTTTGTTTTCCTATCATCTCCGGTTACTTTAACATTTATATTCTAAGGGATCAGATACTTCCTGACCATATTTCCACTTCAGAGCAGTTGAGTTTAAACCCTTTACAACTTTCAGTCCTGGGACTCCAGTCCAAGGAGAGCAATGCTGGCAGTTCATCCAGACCCGCTGGCCACGAGAACCTCACAGAGCGGTGTCACTCTTGAAAATAATCAGTATCCTACTAAATTTCACGTCCCAACCTCAGTTAAGACACGCAATCTGCAGAAAAGCACAGCAAACTGAAGGAAAACAGAGAGTGTAATTTAAAATACCGGTAAAGGGTTGTATAAAGATGATCTAGGAGCATCTATGTCATGCTATATACTTTGTCAAAATCTTAAAGAGCATCACCGATGGTAAAACTGAAAGGCTGTAAACGAGAGGCCTGTGACACCCAAGATCTTTTGTCTCCAGGTTGGTTCCTTGGCACTGAACCCCAGACATCCAGCCTGAGGAGCTGCTTCCCAGCTCTCCGCTGTGGGTGAGGAGTAAGTCTTCCAGCTGCTCCCTTCCCTCTGCAAAAAGACAGAAACGGGCAGTTAGATTTTTCACCTGAACAAAAAAAAGCCACTTTTCTGCGTGTCAAGGCCATGCCTGTCACCAGCAATGCACCGCCAGGTACATCTTCCTGCTTCCCTTATCGGGATGGAGACACAAGCACCACCTCAGGATGCGGTGGGCAAGGGAAAAAATACAAACAACGGAGAAGCATCGCCTCCTGGCAGTGCCAGCCGGGGTGACACCGAGCCCGGGGTGACAGCAGCCGGAGTGACACCGAGCCCGGGGCAGGCCAGGCCCGTGAGGGAAGGCCGCCATGTCGCCTCCTGAGGGAAGGCCGCCGGATTCCCCGCCACCTCCGAGGCAGACCAGGGGCCGGCAGAACCACTCCGGGAGCCCACCCCACACCGGCAGCCCCCTACCGGCCCCGGGGAAGGGGGGGGACCCGCCACCCGAGGGCGCCGGCCTCCGCCGGGCCGCGGCCCGCGTTGCGCAGGCGCAGAGGGCCCCTCCTCTTCCCGCCCCTCCCGCGCACGCGCACGCGCCCCGCGCCGCGCGCGCCCCCTCAAGGGGCCGGAAGCCGCTCTGCCGGCGGAAGCGCGTGCGCGGCGGTTGTGTCCAGCAAGGAGCGGCGGGAGGGGCCGGGGTGCGGGGGGGGGGGGGGGGGG